CAAAGAAGCAGGAAATGATGCAGGATACTTGGAGGTAAATTCCCAGCATTCTGTATAATTTCGCACCAAATCCTTGGCCACTAAGTGTCTCCAGTGCTCCACTTAATCCTGTCTAAAGTAAGGAGGAACTCATAGATTATTTCCTTTGCTTCATAATAGCACTAATCCAATAAGAGGTAAGTAAGTTATTTGCTGAATTATGAGACAGTCAAATAACATACCAATCTCAAACTTAATGAATCAAAAAAAAAATAAATAAATAAATAAAGCAAAAATTTTTAAATGCTTTTGCTTGTCTTTCTTTTTCTTTTTCTTTTTTAATTTATGATCAGAGTGAACTCAAATTAATTTTTATGTTTTAAATTAATTTTTTTTTGAAACATTTTAAGAATGCATCCTCATATCATTTTGATATATTTAAAAAAAGTTAAATTTTTTAAGTTTTAACCACAAAACTTAAATTTTAAATCTAATTTACCATACAACATTTACTTCCTATTAGGTCTAAGTCTAACTTATGGATATGCTTTTGCTTGTACTTGTTTAGTTGTTTTTCCAACATTATCACATGCATAGGCCCACTTCACTCTGTCAATATCCTTCCGCCTGAGAAGCCATGATTCCTCAGGATCGAATTTCCTCATCTTCCACTCTCAAATTGTTGTATATTAAAAAACGCGGTTTTATATTAAACAAAGAAACCTTTGATTTCAATTTGGCCTGCATGTTAAACTACGGTTTAGATATCAAAATTATCGAAGTACTTCTAATTAACGAATTGACATGTAATTAAAGTCAACTATTCTAGTAGCAGACTAGCAGGTATAACATATGATATGTAAATGCCTCCATATAGGAAATGGGTTTAAAACTGTATTTAACGAAGATTGAACTACAGAGTTAGGATCGGCGAGCATAGTTGATAATTACCATGAAGGCAAAGCCGGTAGTGGTAGCCCAATAATTGGCAAGAGTGGCGCCGGCAAGCTCAAGCTCCCCTAGGTGGCCGACTGGCCGGCAAACATGACGGAAACCAACGTGATGGAATAGTAGAAAACATTAGTAAGGATCATGGGCAGTGAAAACAGAACTTGACTCTTCGCCTCTTCAACATCCAAAACATTCCCCCACCAACTTCCTCCTCCATGATCGCAGCTACCGCTCGCCTTCAACAAGGGTTCTCCTGTCTCCGAAGTCGTGTCCGACGACATCACGATCACCTCTCTGTCCACCTTCTCCTTAACGGACAGCCTCCCCAAGAAAACACTAAACGGTGCCTTTAACCTTCGTAACGTAATTTATGAACTGGATAAGTATCCGGCCGCGGCTGCAGGACGGGAGGTCCGTGAGACACGGAATCTAAATATAAAAATTTTGGGTCCCTACTCCATCCTCTCTCTCTCATCATTCACTCTTTTGTTCCTTTCACTCAAACCTCCGTCCTATCTATTTCATCACTTACTACTTGCCCATTTCTCTCACCTCAAATTTCACATTGTAATGACCATTTGATCTCAAAAGTGGCACGATTAGTGCGCTTGCTGTTTCAGGTTTGTTTTGGAGGCATTGTGGTCTTTTTACCCTAAACACTCGGTCCCTAACATCCATCTTTCAGTATTTAACATCATCTTTTTACCCTTCAATTTCCTTCTGTAACTTCCCTCCTGCATTAGATAGTTAGAGGCAAAATGGTTATTTACTTATTAAACCATTCTTTCTTCTTTTATTTAGCTGGCATTTAGGGGGCTGTGTCTCAAACTTTTTCCTCTCCTGCTTTAAACAGGTCATTTATTGTTAAATGAGAAAATCTCATATCAAGTATAAAATGGAAAAGTTTGTGGGTTCAATATAAATAAGGTTAGTCTACTTATTGCCAATTGATTTTAAGTTGAGCCTACATGCACAGTTTTCACATAGTATTAGAGTCCAGATTCTATCATGGGAAGCCCATTGTTAGCTCACTTGATAAGATTCGACCCCTGCATGTAAAAGGGTGTGTTAACCCACGTGACAAGACCTGGACTTGTACATGAGGGGACATGTTAAGTGAGAAAAAACCACTCCATTTATTGTTAATTGATTTTAGGGTGGATGCAAGTCTTATATTGAATCTACATACATAATTTTTACATTTATCATTGCTCCTTTCACCTTTTACTCATTCACTCTTTTCTGCTCTCTTTTTTTCTACTCTGCTCTTGTTGCTTTTCTCTCTCCTTTTTTCTACTGTTATGGAAAGAAGATTATGAAATGAAAAGGATATACGTACTAGCTATTGTTAGTTATCATATCATTTGATTTTTGTACTTCGTAGAATCAATGGAGAGTTCATTTTACTTTATTTTTATTGTTTTTTAGTTTTAATTATGAACTATTTTTGGGTGCTTTATTTTAAAAATTTATTACTTAACAGACCGCATGGCGGGGTGCAAATTGCTAGTAGGATAAAAATTTTATGTTTCAGAGTGAGCAATAAGACACCCAGTGATGTTAAAAGGTTTTCCTTCTAGCCACAGAATGAGGCTTGGACACATATAAGAACATGCTAGAGAATTCACATCTACCTTAATTAACAAATGTGGAAAATATGTTTTAAATACATTGATTGATATTCTCAGAGTGATGAGCAACAAGGCACCCAGTGATGTTAAAAGGTTTTCCTTCTAGCCACAGAATGAGGCTTGGACACATATAAGAACATGCCAGAGAATTCACATCTACCTTAATTAACAAATGCGGCAAATATGTTTTAAATACATTGATTGATAGTCTCAGAGTGATGGCAACAAGGCACCCAGTGATGTTAAAAGGTTTTCCTTCTAGCCACAGAATGAGGCCTGGACACACATAAGAACATGCCAGAGAATTCACATCTACCTTAATTAACAAATGCGGAAAATATATTTTAAAAAATATACATTGATTGATATTCTCAGGGTGAGCAACAAGGCACCCA